CTATTAAATTCATATATTGTTAAATTCATAATGTGAAAAATTAGACCCAGTTTGAGTTATTTTTAATCATTTCTGTACAGACCTTACTGTTTCTGTCAAATATGAGATTTTATCGTGATAACAAATGTTAGGTAACTAGAAAAGTTAAGTTATTTATTAACATTGAAAAAAATTTATTTGCATTTAATTGCACTCTCAGTGTGCATCAGTGCTGCACTAATTTTCTTAGTGAAAAATGCTATAAGAATTTAGCTATTCGACGTACCAAAGATTTTCGGCGAAAATATACTATATAGATATATGAGCACAGTTTTATTTTATTATTTTTATAATAACAAAGAAAAAATATAATTTCTACCAGTATTTTAAAGCAGTTCTAACGAGAAATATTGTTATTATTAAGATTCTTACGGAAGCTAACTGTCATCATTAAGTTGCAACGTCGTTTCCGGAATGCAAAGCGTAATGTACCGTCTTTGGACAATCAGAATACGGCATTAAGCGCGAGTTGAAGTAGTTTCTACCATTGTCGACCAAATGCTTTATTCAACGACGTGTATATTAAAAAGAATTGTATTCAAAGACTTATATTTACGTTCTACAATTAAATTATTTGAAGTATAAATAAAATATTTTTAATTTGTTTATTTCATAATATGATCACTTCAATGAGATATTATAATTGTATTTTTTTTATTAGAGAGCAAATGTTTATATTAAAAACAATATTAATAAGTGGCTCAAAAATATATATTAAAATAAAACAATATATTATATATTTCAACTAAGGACTACGAGTCATAAATAAACAAGTAATGTTACAGTGTCTAAATAAAGTGATCTAATATGGTTCATCGCGATCTGTAGATCCGAGATCTGATGATTAAAAGACCTATGATCACCAGCGCCGTTAGGCGTTAAACTACAGGTCCTCTATGATCGCGGGTTAAATTACTATACATTTCATATTAGATCACTTTATTGTTTAGATACTATAACATTATTTGTTTATTTATAGCTCGTAGCTTATTTGAAATATATATTGTTTTAGTTTATATTAAATTTATTAAAAATATATTTCAAAACACGTTTCAAAACGTTTTATGATTTTACATATTTTATTAAAAATTATTAAAAAAACGTACAAAATACATGATTCTGTCTGTTTAATCGACAACATAAAAATACTTTTCTTTATTCTATTATAAGAACAAAGAGAAGAGAACTATGCGATTTAATTTTTGAATTTTTCGTTGGAAACTATAATACGGGACAAAAAGAAGATTGCCTTTCTTCTCGTGAATCCATGTGGTAATTTCACCAAGAATAAGATCGCTTTCAGAAACATATTCGTGGTATCACAGACAATTCTAATCTTTATGAACAGATCTTTATGATGTCGGGAACGCAAACTTATCTATTTATCTAATCTATTTAGAAGTCCTGAAGATATCCTTGCAAAATCTTGAGTCATAATACAATATCTAAAATTGCACAATTTTTTTCAATTTATTAGAAAACTTTTTTAATTTTGAATTGCGAACTAATTCTTTATTAATTTGCATTTTATGCAAAATTTTAATATATTTTTACGACGTCAAATTGCAATGGGATATTTGAATAAAATATCGAATATGGAAGAAAATATGTTTCTCCTACTTAAAATCAAATACTAAAATAGAGATTTCTATTATTTCTTTCATAATTTTACGCGTAGTATTTAATTAAAATTTTACTTTTAATTTCATTATGTATTGTATTCGCTTTTTCCATTAAATGCAACAACGGCGTGACGATTTATAGGGAAATTCGGACAGCTTGCTGTCCGAGGCTTTCGGCAGGCGGAAATAGCGGATGGTGAGCGGAAACTGAAACAAATAACGAATGAAGTACCGTCTTTCAACGTCAAAAAAAAAAAAGCGCATTTCTTCCGGCAGTGCAAATGAGCTGCGGACCTCAGCCGAAGTGCAATTATCTCGGGCGAAGTGCATGAATTCATCTCTTCTCCATGCTCGATGAATGTGCGCGCCGGCTACTCCGGAAAGATAAATATTCAGATATGCATAACAGGAAGAAGGCAAGGCGAATGTGCGCCGCAGCCGCGATTCGCACGACCCGCCGACTTATTTCTTTCGTCTGAGACTCAGCGCCCATTGCCTGTTAGAAGAACATTAATTTCGCGGAGTCACCCGTCCCCCTGTGCCAAATGCACCAGGTCGCATTTACAGGGATGTAATTATACGAGCATGCGTCAAGAGAGAGAACAGTAACAGCGGTCTGTTCTTCAAAGAGTCTAACGCTGAACGCACGTCAAGCAGAAAATTTAATACGACAGCAGCTATTTATTAAATAATGTTCTCCTCCTTAAACGTTGCATCTCGTTAAACGGGAAAATTTCAATTTTCGCGATAGAACGATCCTCTGCGATGCACAGAGCTTAAAAAAATTTGCTCGATTTAGTCGAGCCCTTTTATCGGAATTTATTCTGAATTATTCATTGGATTCGCCAATCTTATATACCCATCTATGCTATGTGTCTGTCTGTCTGTCTGTGGTAATCACGACTCGCTTTCCCCTCTTTTGTGAGTGCACGTTAAACGGTGATGCAGAATTCATTTAGTTCGCACATTCGACTAATTATACTTCGCCTATTCTCTACCGCCGCCATGCCACGAGATTCGCGAGCCGAATTCGCCTTTGCGATCCGCTTCACGCGGGTGTATTAATAACTCACCATTGTTCCATCACGGCGCGAAATCGCTGACGAATTCCGTTGAATTTCAAAATTCTCGATTAATTACACAGTTAATTACGCAGTCCCATGCCGCCCGCGAAACATTTCGAATGAGTCCCTCGCCACTCTCGCCGCGGAACTTGTTGCGAGTCGACACAACGCATTCTCACTTGATCTGACGCACAAAGAGACTAAAAATGTGAAAATTATTACACAAAGCTGAAAATTTCACATTTCATTATTACTATCAACAAAGCCTGAAATCCTCTTAACGAATTATAGCATTTTTATCTCTTTAAATATGTTTTACAGCCTTTTAGAATGTCATTATAAAAGATCAGTTTAAAGAAATTACAGAATTTTTTTCATAGAATTTTATAGAAACAGAATCTTTCCAAAAATTTTTACATAGTTTGATTAATTAATGATTTGAATTTTTTATTTATGTATTAACAAAAGAATTAATTCTTTTTAAAATTTTTAATTTTACATCATAAAGAATTCGCATGTTTTATTACAATTTTGTATTAAATAACAGATCTAAAATAGTGTAAAAAATTTTAATTCGATAAGATTGTGATAAACTAGTTCTCGAGATAATTGCTCGATTATCAATATCAAACCATCTCCGACAGGATGTGCATTATGAGTGGGACATATGCAAATACGATCACCATTTGAAACGTCCGTAAAACCAAATAACGAATCCGATCGTGCAACGAGAGACAAATGAACGTGGTTAATAGAAACGTATAGGGACGATTGTATCAAAAATTCACGTAACAGCTCGTGAATTCGCACGATGCATATTAATCGATAGTAATCGTGGGGTGACGGGGAAATGAGGAGGGCTATAATATCGCTTGATTTGATTTTTCGAGTAATGCATTACTCTTGTGCACTTTAAATTTATGTAGCGTTGCGAACGACCGCAAACTGTTTGCGCGATTTGTCAAATTAACTTTAGACTAAGTGAGTTTCGAGAACTCCAACTTTGAACTTAAACAACAAAAAACGTGCGAAATAAAGATTTAAAGTTGCGTGACACATAAAAAATTGCTTGGACGACAGATGGATATTGTGAATATATATTGAAAATCAATTTTTTCTCAAACTTTTATAATTTTTTACTTTTATTCATTTATTTGATTACTCTCGGAGTATACCAGACTTAAGATTGAGTTCTTTGTTCGAAAAGTGGCGTTACTGGAGGGATAATAAAAAGTACTCACGTTTCCTGTTCGTCAGTCCAAGAAAAAGAAGAAAGGTGCAAACCGCTCTCGCGACGCTCGTTCCAATTCCAGTACTGTTCGCCAAGAAATCAATCGAGAGGGTGCGAATGCCTCGACGCACGAGAAACACGTTGCCATTTCCTCTGTACCGTTGCTGTATTACACTGACCCCAATTCTACAAATCCGCTGAGGCCCCGACGTTCTAACACAGAATTACGTCAAACTTGAGACTATTTCACCTCGAAATATCCCATTCCACGCGGTATAAGGGTTCTTTAACAATTTATGTCTGGAGATTTCGTATCTTCCCATACAAATGACCTAGAAACGCATTATGATACCATTTACTACCGCACGGTGAAATTTACGATTTTACAACATTTCACGTAGAGATAGAAACATTTTTAGTGTGTCATAAGTAGATGGAATTGTGAATTAATATACATCGGGACAAATAGATGCATTTTATATATTTTTGACAGGTGAGATACACACAAATACCAGGAAATTGTAAAATTAAAATCGCGTTTGTAGTGCAGTAATTTACTTACTATTGCGCTGGGAAATTTCCAATATTCTGCAGAGTACGTAAAAGTTAACATTTTGAAATGTATTATGAACAAAGAATTATAATCCGACAGCGGAATTTAAAATCTAAAAAGATTCGTAAAATGTTAAAACTTTAAAATATATACTTGTCGAAAGCTCGGACGAATTATATAAAGAACCGTAAAATAAATATACGAAAAAGTAATCGAGTCTATAATAATGTACTATGCACAACTTCACATTCATAACAATTTCCACTTTAAATTCCTTTATGACTGACGGTTTATTTTTAGGATATGACTCACGCTATTCGCGGTTGTAATAACAACCGCGAAAAATTAAATTCCTATACAACTCGAGCACGTCTGTGCATTACATCTTTCCTGTTCACTGTTCCTCCGTACATTCCACCGAGTTCCACTGAGATCGTCAGATCGCTGAAAATAAAGGACAAGTATTTTACAAGCGGTTATTTCTGTTTCAGGTGAACATCCAGCCGCGATGCAGCATGGAAACACGGCAGCCGGCTCGCCCAATTCCAAAACAGTCCTGGTGATGCTCGCCTTCCTTCTGGGCCAGCTGAGATAATGTGCGTGTGCACGAAGGTCGCCCGAGACTCGTAAAATTGATGAACGTATCGCAACATGGTCGCCCACACATTCTAAACGTTAACCCTTCCGCACAGATCGTTCTGAATTAGATCTTAATTAGTTTCATCGTAGCGGCCGTAAGATTAAATGATTTGGGAAATTATGTAATAGTCATAAAGGTACAGTCATAAAACGAGAATTTATTAGTTAAAAAGTTTTTGATTAATACTAGATGCTCGATTTTTATGGCTTTAGGATTAATTGAGTTTTGAATAATAATATTCCACAATCATTATAATGTAATATTATTCACTGTTGTCGAAACGATTGTTTTCTATCGTGTCTTTATCATTTTATTTTATCGGAATTAGCTTTTTGAATTCGTTGAAATCACGTACGAAATGATAGAAATGCAGCGATTGTAAATCATAATTTTTTTCAACTCCAACTCCAATTTCAATTTATCTCGAGGCGGAAATTTTAATCTAAAAATATATGCGTCGTTATGTTATTTTAATTGCATGTCGTAATTTAAATACTCTCGTTGTAGCGGTTATCTCGCTTCTCTTAATCTAATGCGAAAATCCCCATCCCGTTTATCTTAAACTTAACTGTGGGTTTGGCCGCTGGGGTGAGAAATACAAAGATAATCTCTAAGAGACAGCTCTTACGTAATAAAAGCGAAGCTTTGTGCCTAAGGGTTAAGCGGAGTGTGAGGCAGTCGTATTACACGGTGTCTTAGAAGCATGAATTCCACGACGAATTTCTGAGTCGACTTTTCCCAACCGCGGAAGGACGAATCCAAAAAAAAAAAATGGACTTTTCATACATTTGTTATAATGCAGCGACAGTATTTATAAGTGAGCTGTACACGTATAAAATGTTAAATAGCTGCGTAATGATAACCAGCGAATCGAGGTTACCTATCTCCATCTCGAAAACAGTCTCCAATAATTGGCAATGTTGCATAAATATTTTTACCATCAACTTGCGCCCAAAATTAATTATTACAGCATCGTGTGTACCAATTATTCTTTTAAATAACAAGCAGATATTACACTTGTTTTAACTGACGATATATTACGCGTTTCGACAAATACCATGTTTTAACGACATCATTTCTTCGATATTTTTTTATTTAATATTTTTAATTATTTTTTACGATCTATCCAGACAGCACAGTAATGTTTAAAAAATGTATTTAAAACATGTCGGACGTTTGGACATATTAAAAACATCCAGATTAGATCCATGGATATTATAAAAACATTTTAAAAACATCCAGACCATTTTAGATTTTTTAAAAACGTCCATTTTAGGATGTAATGGACTGAAACTGAAATAAATTAATATATTAAACAAATTTTCAAGTCTGGATGCCTCCAATGAATGTTCTGTGCTGTATGGGCATAACACATCCATCAGATGAAATAATTACAATCACTACACAATATTATTAGAATTAATTCCGATTTGTTTCTAACAATATCGTAAACACCTAAAGGAAGGCAAACCCATTGACGTAATCCAACATAGTTATTTTCGCATAATAAGCTTCTTTTTTGCACTCTATATCCATAGGTAAGCGAAATAAAAGCGATCAATATTGATAAAAATTCCCTATTCGTGAATACTTACTTGATTAGCCAGATATTCGTTTGATTTAGCTCAGAAATTAGTTTGTGCTTCGTAACTTAGTATCAGTACAGTTTATTGTTGAAATAATATGGCACGCGTTGAGCAACAATTTGTACGATCACGACAGAGCAGTCGAGAATTCTTATCATATCCACGAATGACGCGAAGACTTTATCAATATTAAAGAATTTTAGCAGCGAGACATATGGGAGATCCAGAGAGTTCTTAATTTCCTAATTAAGAACGCTTCGTACGGGAAGAATTAAAAGTCGCTGCTGAAATTTTTCAGGATAATTGCGCCGTGACGTCTAACGCGATGCAAACGTAAGAGAATTAATGATAACGCGCAGTGAGTGTTGACGCAGAGAGGCGTAATTGAGCGCGAGTGCCGCTAGAAAGAAGAGGGATAGCGAGCAAATAAAACAGGACTACGTCCCGCGCCCTTTCCCGACCATAGTGAGGAAAGTGTTAAGTGTAAAATAAATGTGTCACGAGCAAGTTTAACCGGAGAGCGATGTAATAAAGCGGGTGGACCGACCCCCACCGGCAGCGAAGTACTTTCTACTTATGGCATAAGTGTTAAATGAAAATTTAAAGGAAAGACACACGTACACACACATACACACACGTACAGATAATAGTAGAGAAATGTATGTAAACCACGCGACTTTACGGCTCGTATGATTTACACCCACGACTAGTCCGAAATGAAAGAAAAAAAAAAAAACTGTGTTTCCCACCCGCTCACACCCTTCTCACTGCCTTGTTTTCACACGGTTCTCTTGCGAGAAAGCGCATTCTTGTACATAATGTTTTACTCTTGTAAATAAATTACCCACACAACGCTCGTCGATTCATTCTCGCATCGCCTGTCCGAACAGCGGTTTCCTCACTAATCAGGTATATTAAGAAACGTCCTATCTTAATGAGAAAGGAAGGAAAAGAAAGAAGAAGAAAGAAAGAAAATTAATCTTGCTCGTCCATCCTAATTTACTGTACGTTTGGGTCAATATGCTTAAAAAGTTCTAAAAGATATAAAAGTGTGTTAACATATAATATCTTTTTTCATCAAATATCAAAGATAAAGTTTTTAAATAAAATGTTGGTAAAAAAAATAAGTTACATTTTGGGGGACGAACAGATCCAGCAAGCTTAATATATTTTCACACAAATAGAAGACTGATTTTATTCCTTCTCATTGTTTTATTATCATGGTGTATAACAGTAAATACGGAAATTTAGACTAAATGGACGATCTAAGTCTTTGTCTATCTCTGAGATGGTTGGCAATTCGGAGCTAATGGCAACGGCTGCGAGAAGATGGCCCGCGAAGATCGATAGCCATGACCCCGATGGCGCTCCCGAACTTTTCCCGTCTGGGATATTTAAGAATCCCCGGCTTCGGCTCATGAAGTCTCTCACTTGCAGACCATCCTTACAAAATAACGATGGCGCCCGATTAATTTCCTTTAGCTGCTCAATATTTCCAAAACGACATCGAGCGACGAGCTCCATTTGACCCCATTACTCCAGTCGTTTATTCTGAGAATAAAAGGTAAGTGATTTTTATTTCATAATTTTAAGGATATATATATATATATATAAATAATTAAAACTGTAATCATATTGATTACAGTTTTAATAATAGTGAAAAAACTAGAAACTTTTTATAAGAAATCCATAAAAGTCAACAAAAAAAATCGTCATTTTGACTTTCACGACGTCAAAATAAAATAATGTCAACATGTCAATCTCTTGACTTTGTATTCCTCGAATTATAAAACCGAATACTTGCGTTTTAATTCTAATGGGAGATGACTCCATAAATTTTTAATTTATTTCCGCGATATCTGCACCGATTATCCACGTATAGATATCCAAAGTAGGATGATTCTAACGTCGTTAAAAACAAAACTTCTGTAATAGCACCAAACTTATTCCGTAAGTTTGAAGTTTCTTCGTTGAACGAAGCATACATATATCGTAAGATCAGGTGCAGCTCATAGAATCGGCATGCAGAAATCGACAGCGGGCTAGGCGACAATCAGACAGAGGGATCTAATGAATATTTATGCACATCCATCGTACGCCTTGCAAAGCCACCGACAATCCGTCGATGATATACTGTGAATTTTTTAAGAGATGTCGTGTCTCTCGCGCTACACGTCATCCGAATATATACGACTGTCGTTGTATTCACGAAAGCGCAAATGGAACATATATTACACACGGATGCAAAAGGAAGGAAAATTAAAGGCGCATTTGGATGAAAAGCGAGTATATTCTGCTGAAGGGAAAAAAAGTGTATCTGGTATTCAAGCCGCTATTTCCAATACTGAACCGATGTAACATTCTCCGTAAAAAATAACCGAGATATTCTATTGCCGCTATTGAATTAGCTTACTAACTTTACTTGCTAATAGCTTTCAATCATTTATAATATGAAACGAAATTCCTCGATATTGAAGTACTCTCAATGATGTTTTATATACAGTCTGCTTTTTTATCTGTTACGAAAGTGCACGTAGTTGTATTTGTAAAACTTGTATAATTTTATGATGTGCTCTATTCAAACAGAATACAAATCAAATTCTAAATAAGAAGACACCTATGTTCAGTCGAAGCGAATCTTAATGTTTAAATACATATTTCTCTTGTGTCAATTCATATACATTCTGATTCTGCGTATCACGACACGTGACTTCTCAAAATCTCAAAATGTTCCTTTTTCTGATAAAAGGCGAGCTTTTGCCATTTTGTGCTTTAATTAAATTGTATTTTGCTGTTGGACTTAATTAGAATTGCTCAATCGCGCACACATACGTTTGACTTTTCCCTAACAAAATACCACGTGTAAATATATATACATGAACATATAGTTAACCGTTGATGTTTCCGGTCTCTCGCATACTAAAGAACCAACTACTAACTATGTGCAAAACTTTAATTAGGAGCGAGCGTGACTACTTGAAACAGTGCGAGTAAATCTGGTACTATGAAAATACGAAATGGTGGAGGATATCCAATACTTCTGCCGAAACCAAAGTTATATAAATTCAGAAGTTTGCATTATAAATTCTATACATTTGAAAAACATCATGTAGAAAAATAGCGCGATACCAAATTAGCTGCTGCAACCAATTAAAAATGCTATGCCATCTAATTTGCTGCAGCAGCAAATCCTTTCTTTCAGTGTATCTTTAAATATCAATCACACATTTGTTAATTCTTTAAGTAAATTAAGAAGCTAATGCCGCATAATAAAACTTTGTTGGATGAAAAGATATTGTAAAAATAAGTTATCAAGTATTAAAAATATTCATTTCAATCATTTTTAAAATGAATCAGATTTTTGTGCGTAATACGAAATAACTTGCAAATAATAAAATATTTATTTAACTTTGTGTAAAGAAAAAGAAACAGAATTAATTCCAAGCACATATATACGTAAATCAGAGTATTCATCATAAAAATCCTTCAATAATGAAGTATAT